ATTCATTAGCTGATGGGGCTTTACACGCCCTCATCAAATTCTCCTAGCTAGCTAGGAGAGTTTAAACTAGTGTTGTAAGATGACAACCACCATGAAGGTCTGTGTAGCATGCAGAAAGGGTAAGGAAACGAAAACAGACCAGGGTTGCTTGCCATCTCTGTGGCCAATGGTCCCATGGGGTGTGCAGGGATTTTAAACCAGCAACCACACTATTCAAACCCAGAGAGATGTTTTTGGGTCTGCCCAAACGAGATATACCTTATGAGAAAATTACATCTATATTAAAAGACAAGAATACAATAAAAGATCCTTCTTGAAAGACATATCAGCATGGTATTATAGCGGGGAAAATAAGATGGGTAGTAGGACGGGGCTGTCTTGGACAGTGCTCCTGAGGGTGCTAGTGTTGTCCTGGAGGGCAGTGCTCCTGAGGGTGCTAGTGTAGTCCTGGAGGACAGTGCTGAGGGTGCTAGTGTAGTCCTGGAGGATAGTGATCCTGAGGGTTCTAGTGTTGTCCTGGAGGACAGTGCTCCTGAGGGCACTTGTGTTGCCCTGGAGGACAGTGAAGACAATACTATTCAATTCACAGAGGTACAAAATAGAAATACTGCTGGAAATGGATCACAAGGGGATGATGCCTCAAGGAATAGTGTCGACACACCACCAGCAAAACCTGGTGGAAGCACCGATGTCCATATAGAGGTGAAAGATACTGAGGAAACAGGGGGAAAAAATGCACCCACAGCAAACGTAGCTACAATAAATCCTAGCAAACAGTATTACAATCTATGTAAATACTATGCCTTGAGTATCTGCAGGCACGATATATCTGGTAAAGCAGGTGGGACATGCATTTTTGACCATCCTGAAAAATGCTGCACCTACATGACAACAGGAGAGTGCAACTTCCCCTCCTGTAACTTATTTCACCCAGAAACGTGTCAATCATCAATCCATGATAGAAAATGCATACTGCCAGGCACTTCATCTACAGGGGACAAGAAGACACAGACCAGCCAGAATGGGGAACAAAAGAGGGGAGCCACAACCTCTCCAGGGACAGAGGTTTTTTTAGGGCCAGGAGGGAAAAAAGACTGGCAAGCCACGGCAATAATCCTACACCACTTGAAAACACTTCTGGAGCAGAGGCACAGACATTGGCCTCCACTCCAGAACAACAAATATTAGAGCCAGCAAATAAAACCCCCTAAATTCCACCAAAATAACGATATTTGTCTTTGGAAACATAGAGGGTCTAAAGCCGTCAAAATACAACAAAATTCCTTACATCAAGGGACTGTTCACGGAGTCAAATGCAATGTTTGCAGCATTCACAAGAGACCCACATAAAGGATCATTATGACAATGAAATATGGATCCCAGGTTTTAACCTATTCTGATGCGACAGACGGAACAGGCAACAAGGGGGGCTTGGCCTGTAACTTAAACCAGAGAATATTAGAGCCTACAAGACTAGAAAATATGCTGGACCTCATCTTCACTAACAACGATGATCTCATATATAACATAACCGTGTCAAAGACAATGCATTCAGATCACAACATAATAGAAGTGCAGACATGTATGCACAGGGCTCCTGTCCAGCAAAATGTGAGCAGTCATGAAGGTCTCTTCACGAAATTTAATTTCAATAAAAAAACATGTAGTGGGATCAAGTAAACCATGTTCTAAATGAAACAAGCTGGTAAGATATCCTAAACAACACGGATTCGAACATTTGCGTTGAAAAAATGAATTCTTTGATTCTTGAGTTCTGCTCAAGACACATTCCATTAAGAAAAAGAAAGAGAAGATGTAAACTAGAAAGAGAGAGACGCTCCCTAAACGGAAGAAGACGAAGAGTCACAGAGCTGAAATATGAAGGAGGCACTAGTCAATGAAATTACAAATATCGAACTTAATGATGTTTTGGCCCACCTCATGGCGAGCAAAAATCACATGTTGCCTCTAACCCACAGGACCACCAAATCTACAAGAACCAAGCACCCAGCCAAGCTAGGTGTGTTACCCTTGGTCCGAGGACATACAGTGGTGTGGGTGCCTCTGAGCTTAATTTCATTCTACTCCTTTTTGGTGCACAAGCCCAACAAGAACAACCGTATATCCTAGGACCAAGGGTAATACACCTAGCCTGGCTGGGTGCTTGGTTCTTGTAGGATTTGGTGGTTCTGTGGGTGATTTTTGCTTACCATGAGGCAAGCCAAAAACATCATGGGCTTGAGTCCTTGGCTAGTCACAGTGCTGTTATTGATCAATACCATTCGTTCATAACCGCACTGTGACTAGCCAAGGACCGAGGATATACGATTGTGCTTGTTTGGCTAGTGCACCAAACAGGGAGTAGAATGAAATTAGCTCAGAGGCACCCACACCACCGTATGTCCTCAGATCAAGGGTAACACTCCTAGCTTGTCTGGGTGCTTGGTTCTTGTAGGATTTGGTGGTCCTGTGGGTTAGAGCGTCATGTGATTTTTGCTCACCATGAGGCGGGCCAAAACATCATGGGTTCGAACCCTTTGGCTAGTCGTAGTGTTGTTATTGATCATACCACTTGTTCGTGGTTACAATAATATAAAATATCTGTCTAGTACATATTGTTACGTGTTTGTCACTGATTATAATGCGAAAATCTCATCCAGCTTCTCAGAGCTGGGGCGCATGCCCAAGATACAGCATGCATTACCTCTCTGAACAGCAGTGCTGAGTCGCTGGGTCCTGAGAGAGTGAGCGGAGGAGCTGTATGTGCCACTAACAATACTCTTCAAAACATCCATTGAAACTGGGAAAACTACCTGAGGTGTGGAAGACATCAAATGTAGTCCCAGTTTTTGAGAAAGGTGAGAGACACGTGGCATTAAACTACAAACCAGTGTCACTGATGTACATGTTTGTAAAGTCACGGAGAAGATTATTCAAGCACCTAGAAAGAAACACGACAAACAACATGGTTTCAGGGAATGGAAATCCTGTTTCAGAAACCTACTTGAGTTTCATAACAAGGTGATTTGGAAGTAAGACAATAGAGAGAGAGGTGGGTAGATTACATCTTCTTGGTCTGTAAGTCTGCTTGAACGCTTTTGACACTAATCAGAGTGGGGCGCCTGAGTTGGCTCCTGTGACGAGTAGGGTCCCACTGGGGTCAGTTTAGGACCTGTGCCTGTTTCTGGTATATGTGAATGACATGATGGGAAGGAATAAACTCAGAAGTGTCCCCAGTTTACAGACGATGTCAAGCTAATGAGGAGAATTCAATCGGACGAGGATCAGGCAAGTCTACAAAGGGATCTGGACGGGCTGCAGCTTGGTCCAGCAACTGGCTCCTGGAGTATAACCCCACCAAGTTTAAGGCCATGAAAAATCGGGGAAGGGCAAAGAAGACCGCAGACAGAGTATAGGCTAGGGGGCCAAAGACTGCAAGCCTTACTCAAGGAATAGGGTCATGGTGAGTATGATACCGAGCACCTCTCCTGAAGCGCATAAATGCAGATGGGCGCCATCTGTATTTGTGTATTATACACGTATGGGAACACATCCAGGTGACGGGAATTTTTTAATATAAATTAGAGAAATGTTATTTGTAATGATAGTTAACTAGAGTTATGGAGTTCACAGCCTGCAGTGCCATCTGGCTTGCTTACTTAGTAAGCTGAATGTCATGTGGGACTAACTTCAGCTCGGACTCCTATCTGCTCTGCCCTGCCCTAGTTGTCTTGTCAGCACCATTAAGAAAAAGACAACAGTTAACGGACTAGGCAATGAAGCTGAAGAACTAAGGGAAAAGGAACTCACGAGGAATAATCAGGAAATCTGTGAAAAGCTCAGAAAAAAAATTTGGAAGGAATTTTCCTAAGAGACTGGAGGTCACCAGCAAACTGTTGAGTAGACTGCCCCCCCGGGCGATCTTTTTCCATCCCGCTTTCTCTTAAACTCAATGTTATTATCACTGATTACATTACCATTCACAAGACGATTTAACCTCTCATAATTATTATACACATTAGAGATCACTCCATTAAGATCTGAGACCGATGAGTGATGATTAAACCAAGGGTAATTTTCCCCAGGACACAGTCCATAGTGATGCGCCAGTCACCCGGTCCTACCCTTATTCACTCATTTTTCCACTTTATTACGGTGGTCCCATAAATCACGTTCCCTCACTCTCCACCAGGAACAGTTACGACACTTCCTATTATGAAATGAGGCCTATATTAATCCTTAGGCCGCCGTGAATGCCAATTTCGTGGTTCCATGCTTTCCCAGCCTCCTCACCACATTCAAAACACTCCCGCCTCCCCCATGGCCCGAGTTCACCTATCCCCCCGCTCATCCGCGCATGCGCAAAGGGAACTCTTGGTTCTACCCTATTGTCAAATACATTTTTGACTCATATCGACACATTAAACACCTATTAGGCGCTATAGCTTCGGAAAATAAAAAATTTTCCACACGACCTCCCATAAGGGGTCATTCACTCCCTGAAGTTTAAGAACTGTGAACTTCAACATGTATGAAGTACATTCATACAACATTGTTTTCTCGCAAATATTAGGTTTCTCTCAGTACTCTCAATAACAGACAATCATGGTTTTGTTAATATATATTGTTAATATATAATGTTTTCGAAGACAGATTTTGACCCTTTGTTGAGGCAACTTTGATCCTTAAAAATTAAAAAGACAAAACGATACTGACTTTAGATAAATGTTTATTTTGATTTACATTCCTTCTGGCACGTTAGTAATGAATCATATTTTGTGCATTAAGTGCCTAGTTCTTTAAAAGTTACCCTTTTTTTTATCTGGTATAATCGGCAGTGATTCGCATTAATTTTTATCTCTAGAATAATTCCTTCCTTCTACAGTAACCACTGAAATTCTTCCACTTAGCTTAGTCACTGTGCACTTGGAATGCACCTCACGTTGTTTACTCTGAATTCTGTCTTTTTATCACAGTAATTCCTCTTATTAATCCCTTAGGCTGATCCGGGCTGGTTGATTCTCTACCAGCCCCTGGAAGACCCTGAGTCGGGTCTAGAAACCTCGATTCTTGGCCTGCGTTTTCCTCTACGGCCAAGACTACTGCATCGAGGCAAAGTCTCCGTTAAATGCACCGCCTCAATCTTCAATATCTATTTTAGGAGCACTGAAGCATTTGTCCAGGCCGACATTCCCTTCCACGCCTCCATTATGGAGGGCCGAGCTGCCGTAGGTCGAGGTGGGTAGATTGAATCTTGAGGTGGCTGGTGGGCTGGTGTTTAAGATGATGTTTAGCTGTTATAGATATTCTGACATTTCAATATAAGAGAGAATATTAAGACTTTTTTGCCATTTATTTCAGGATGTCCAGCAAGTGCGTCCAGTGTCTTAACCGTAATGACGTCAGGTGTCCTGCTGCTCATAAATTATTGAGAGCTTATTGCAAAGCATTTTGTATCTTCGCAGTGGAAGACGCTAATGACAGCTCTGAGGTATATTTCTCAGTTTCTGTGAGCCTCTCAGACGTTATTCACAGGAGCTCCCTTTTTGTGAAGAGTCGTGGGCTGATATGTAGCCTGCACACTCTGAGGACTACATGAGATACATGTGAAGATTTACGTGAGTGTATGTGTGTATTTAAGGCTTGTGACACTTACAAGAACAAAGATGTGTATATACATTTGTGAGTGATTTACAGATGGTAACACTAGAGTCACGTCAACTTCAGTTTGGTTCTTTAGCATATATATAAATTGCATCCGATAAATCTTGAAGATAAAAATATGTTAACTTTCAGATGAACATTTATATCTTATCAGTCGACTGATTTTTAACTGGAAATTTAATCAGATCTTCATAATAAACTGATCATTGTCATTAATTTAAACAACATCTCAAATTCCGCAAAAGCTATAACAGGACGATTCTCCAGAACGGAATTAAGATTTGTTATAATGTTCATCGTATTTAAGCCCACATGGACCTTGTCATCCTGCATCCTAATAACGAGTTACTAGGATCTCTAGTCAAAGGAATCATTTAAGCCCACATGGACATTGTCATCCTGCATCCTAATAACGAGTTACTAGGATCTCTAGTCAAAGAAATCACTTGCTCTGACTGTCAAGAATTTCTGAAATAATTTACTGTACCTTAATTCTGACAAATTGTTGATTTCAGTTATATTTTTGCTTAAAACCTCTTCTAACTTGTGATATACTGTAAATTTAGTTATATGTGTGATATATAATGAATATTCCATTCCCTCGAATCTAATAGTCTTTCATATCAGTTCTTTTAACCCTTTTATCAAGCTTTAATGTTTTGGTAAAAATTTGGCTACAGGTATAAAGAACGTGCAAAATGCTTCATTTGATATGCAGTACTTTGTTTACAGTCTTTCCTTAAAATATAGTCGCTACATCATTATTTTTACCAGAGTTAACAACTAGTGTTTATTGAACCTGTAAATATTCTTTTATATTGGAAAAATTTAAATATAAACTAGGTCATCTTTAATTCTCTGTTATGCAATACGTTAATCCTGATGATTTATCATGTATATATATATATATATATATATATATATATATATATAATATATATATATATATATATATATATATATATATATATAAAATATATGATGAATATCGCAGAATGATTCGCCTTATTTATGTGTAAGGTGTATTAGTGAGATGCGGACAGTCAAGCTTAAGCTGGCCAGTTAGTGAGATGTAGCCAGTGATGCTCAAGCTGACCATCTAGTGAGATGTGGCCAGTCAAGCTTAAGCTGACCAGCTAGTGATATGTAGCCAGTCAAGCTTAAGCTAACCAGCTAGTGAGATGTATCCAGTCAAGCTTAAACTAACCAGCTAGTGAGGTGCAGCCAGTCAAGCTTAAGCTGACCAGCTAGTGAGATGTGGCTATTCAAGCTTAAGCTGATCAGCTAGTGAGATGTAGCCAGTGATGATTAAGCTGACCAGCTAATGAGATGTGGACAATTAGTTGCACTCTCGATGCTGTTATGACTGATAAAAAAAGTAATAAAAACACTACACAAACCATAATATTAAAATAGTTCGTGTGTTTTAGGTTTGAAAAAAAAAACATGAAAAAAAAAACATGAAAAAATACCAGAAAAAATTGAATTCAGAATGTGACATGTCTAATGCATTTCCAGGAATTATTAATGAACGACTCATAAAGTATATTAGGAAACTTAACAGCCTCACTGTATTCCAAAATATTAATATCATTTAATTTTTCTGTTACATTTTAAAAATTCCTCTAATATTTTCTTAGTAAAGAGAGACTTTGAAAAGAGTTTTGAATTTTTATGGAAATGATTTGACTGAAGAAGACTATTGAATACCAGTTAAAACATATATTTTCCTTCCTATAATCGTGATTTTTATCCACAATAATTATTTTCAAATATTCTAAATCTTAGATGGTTATATTTAACACTAAATTTGTAACATTACATTAATTTTTTTGATAAATATAATCGCTATGTATGCATTTCAAGATCAACAATTAAACACACAGTATTAACACCAATGAATTTCCAAATTTTTATATTTATATGAGAAGCTAACAAGTCTAGGGCAAAAATTTAGATAAATAAAGAATAATATAAAATGTGTTATTTTCCAAGCTAATGAAATTTAATATTAATTTCATTAGCATCTCTGAACATATCATAATAATATTATATTACCCCACAAGTCACTGATTATATCTTAACATTATTTTTCACAAAGTTTTGTTTCAGATTTCTTATTTTCTGTAAAGTGTTGTAATGTTTGTGATATATAAAGGCTAAGAGAGATTTTTTTTTAATTATTCACACTGTTAGCTAACATTAAATAAGTGAATGATTGAGACGCAGTCATTTATGATTATAATACATCAGAGAGAGAGGTTCCAGCCATGGAAGGGGAAGAGTCCAGTTACTGGAACCAAGATGAAAATAAATGGTATAAAATACCGACACAATGGAAACATAAACACATATGTAGTTTTAATGTGATCCTTTATGACAACGTTTCGCCCACACAGTGGGCTTTATTAAGTCACAAACAGATCTACCTGGGGTGGAAGGTACGGGAGTATTTATAGTCAGGTTCAGAATGCTGAGGTCAGGTGGAGAATGCTGCATCTGATGATCAACCGGGTGGGGTTATAGAGTCTAAAATCTTGGGTAGATTGGCAGGGGTTTCGGACAAGTTGTGAGTAGACTTTCTGCAGTGTTCTATGTTCTTATGTGTGATAGCGATGAAGAAGTTTCTTGGTAAGTGGTTCAGCTATGTTATAGAAGCCATTGTTCTTGTTGAAATTGTTGGTTATAGAGATAAGTGATGATTCCAGGATTCTTCGGTATTGAGTGTTGTCTTCTGTGGCGATAAGTCTTGAGTTTCTGTAGTTTATTAAATGGTTGTGTGAATTGCGATGTTGTACACAGGCATTCCTTGTATCGTCAGTCCTGCTTGCGTATTGGTGTTCTGAAATTCGTGTTTGAGGGTCTCTTGATGTTTCGCCCACGTATAATTTGTTGTAGTCATTACAAGGGATTATGTATTCCCCTGAAGAGGATGGAAGCTTGTCCTGTCTACTACTGGTGATGTCCTTGATGGTCGTGGTTGTGGAGGTAGATACTTGGAATGATGTATTGGAAAAGATGTTGGAAACATGTTTGGCAATGGAGTTGGTGGGGAGGACTATGTATCTCTTCTCGGCAGTGTCTTCTCTGGGTGTGTTGAAGATGTTTAATGCCCGCCGTCTGCAGTCTCTGATGAAGTGACGAGGATAGTGGAGTTTAGAAAATACTTGTTCAATTATAGTGCATTCTTCCTCAAGGAACTCATTGCTGCAGATTCTGAGTGCACGCAGGAAGAAGCCTATAATTACACCACGTTTAGTGTTGGTGTCGTGGTGAGAGTAGAAGTGGAGAAGATCGTTTTGGTTGGTTGGTTTTCGATAGACTTTAAAACGAAGTTCATGGTCAGTTTTGCAGAGAAGAACATCAAGGAAAGGAAGAGTGTTGTCGACTTCTTCTTCAAGTGTGAACTGGATTGAGGGCTCGACCTGGAACCAAGAATCACCAGAGGCTCAAAGGACCGAGTTTAGGGGACACTTATGTAAAAAACTATTTGGCACTGTAGCCAATGATTGTACAACATTCTCAACTGTTGCTGCCCTTGCAGATTTATAGATTTTCAGAGAATTATTGATACCATTCACGAGTTGAATGTCCACTTTGTGAATGTTTATCAAAGTTCCTTAACTGTAACTGGACTGTCAACTGTCACTGGACTGTTAACTGCCACTAGACTGTTAACTGTCACAGGACTATTAATGTCAATGGACTGTTAACTGCCACTGGACTGTTAACTGCCACTAGACTGTTAATTGTCACAGGACTATTAATGTCAATGGACTGTTAAGGTCGCTTGCGTCCCGCTCTGGGAAATCACCGGCATAGCCCATTTCCTCCTCCTGCTATTCCTCCTCCTCCTGCTCCGTAGGTATGTAGGTAGGCAGGCAGGCAGGCAGGCAGCCAGGCAGTGTCGGGGTTTCCCTAATAACCAGTGCCGCACCTGCTGCCCGTAGTCACGCATGGCAGAGAGGCCGACGTGATCAGACGTGAGCAAGCTGCCGGGATTAACTGCCACTGGACTGTTAACTGTCTCTGGACTGTTAACTGTTACTGAACTGTTAACTGTCACTGAACTGTTAACTGTCACTGGACTGTTAACAGTCACTGAACTGTTAACTGTCACTGAACTGTTAACAGTCACTGAACTGTTAACTATCACTGGACTGTTAACAATCACTGAACTGTTAACTGTCATTGAACTGTTAACTATCACTGGACTGTTAACTGTAACTGGACTGTTAACTGTCACTGAACTGTTAACTCTCGCTAAATTATAAACTGTCACTGAACTGATAACTGTCAATGAACTGTTAACTGTAACTGAACTGTTAACTGTCACTGAACTGTTAACTGAACTGTTAGCTATCACTGGACTGTTAACAGTCACTGAACTCTTAGCTGTCACTGAACTGTTAACTATCAGTGGACTGTTAACTGTCACTGAACTGTTAACTGTCACTGAACTGTTAACTGTCACTGAACTGTTAACTATCACTGGACTGTTAACTATCACTGGACTGTTAACTGTCACTGAACTGTTAACTATCACTGGACTGTTAACTATCACTGGACTGTTAACTGTCACTGAACTGTTAACTGTCACTGCACTGTTAACAGTCACTGAACTGTTAACTGTCACTGAACTGTTAACTATCACAGGACTGTTAACTATCATTGGACTGTTAACTGTAACTGGATTGTTAACTGTCACTTAACTGTTAGCTATCACTGGACTGTTAACAGTCACTGAACTGTTAACTGTCACTGAACTGTTAACTATCACTGGACTGTTAACGGTCACTGAACGGTTAACTATCACTGGACTGTTAACAGTCACTGAACTGTTAACTGTCAATGAACTGTTAACTATCACTGGACTGTTAACTGTCACTGAACTGTTAACTGTCACTGGGCTGTTAACTGTCACTGGACTGTTAACTGTCACTGACAGTCACTGAACTGTTAACTGCCACTGAGCTGTTAAGTCACTGGACTGTTAACTGTCACTGAACTGTTAACTGTCACTGGACTGTTAACTGTCACTGGACTGTTAACTATCACTGGACTGTTAACAGTCACTGAACTGTTAACTGTCACTGAATTGTTAACTATAACTGGACTGTTAACTGTAATTGGACTGTTAACTATCACTGGACTGTTAACAGTCACTGAACTGTTAACTGTCACTGAACTGTAAACTATCACTGGACTGTTAACTATCACTGAGCTGTTAACTATCACTGGACTGTTAACAGTCACTGAACTGTTAACTGTCACTGAACTGTTAACTATCACTGGACTGTTAACTATCACTGAGCTGTTAACTGTCACTGGACTGTTAACTGTCACTGAACTGTTAACAGTCACTGAACTGTTAACTGCCACTGAGCTGTTAACAGTCACTGGACTGTTAACTGTCACTGGACTGTTAACTGCCACTGGACTGTTAACTGTCACTGAACTGTTAACTGTCACTGGACTGTTAACTGTCACTGGACTGTTAACTGTCACTGAACTGTTAACTGTCACTGAACTGTTAATCGTCACTGGACTGTTAACTGTCACTGAACTGTTAACTATCACTGAACTGTTAACTATCACTGGACTGTTAACAGTCACTGAACTGTTAACTGTCACTGAACTGTTAACTATCACTGGACTGTTAACTATCACTGAAC